TTCACGGGGAGAGGAGCAATCACAGTCAAAAGGAGAAAACAAAATTCTTCCACGTTGAACATGGATCGAAATGTCGGAACGCTGCAATGGAAAAGGGAGGTGAAGTGAGGCCTGTATGTTGAGAAGGGGGAAGAAGGGAAATGTAAAAGGCTGTGCTGAGCACACTGCGCATGGGGGTTTAGGTTTTATTACGTTCCACACACCTCCTCCTCCCTTCTGCTGCCACGCAGCTTTTTCCTGTAAGCACCTTCTGGCTGGAAGACTGAGATAACAGAGGCTCGAATAAAATATTTTATGAAAACATTAATCTGCCTCCTCTACCTGTGTTACTTTTTCTCAGCTCTTCCAGTTGGTGCGCGATACCGTGAAGTCTCCGTCACGATTCCCAGTTCCCACCCGGGGAGATCCTCGGAGCATCAATCCCGTTGCTGCAGTTTCTCTCTTCTCTTATGAAAGCTGCTGAAGTTTATAAATAAACTTACACGTCCTATCTGGAAAACACACGTTGCTTCTCAGCTCATGGCAAACGCTGCTCCGCGGTGGGTTTGCTGACGGTCTGCAGAGCCCTGTGGGACACAGCAATGGGGGCCACCAGTCCGAGGGGCTTCTGTGCCAGTCCTGATGTTCTGAGACTTTTGGGGCAGCTTCAAGGCACAACGCAACGAGATAATGGGCTTTAAAAAACAATATGAAGACGGCATTAGCTTTGTTATTTTTTGACTAGTTATTATTTGGTAAGCAGCAAGAGCGTGTTGGCCAAACGCAGTTCCTGAGCAGAATAAATAATCTTCATGCCATAGTAAGGAGGGGAAAAGCCTTCCCTTTGATTTCGCTTTGTTCAGAGCACTGAAGGCTTTCCACCGTGGCCCGCTGGTGATGAACAAATCTTTGGTTCGATAAACAACTGGCTTTTGCAAAGTCCAAGACATCCCACTACCAGGAAAAGTGACCGACTTGAAGCCCCAAATACTGAGTATTTTTTTTTCTAGTTGCTATTTATTAACGACGCTGAATCCACCCACCGCTTGCCAAAAATCTGCCTGTAACACTCTTTGTACCAGCGGCACAGCGTAGCTCAGTGCTGGGTCGTGATGGCTGCGCTCCTTCTGCACATGCCCACCAGAAACGAGAAATCAAATATTCACAGGAGCGTTGCCATCAGTAGCTGGAGGACAGACAAAGCTTAAACAATTTGTCTCCAGCTCCTGTAAAAACAGGACGTCTTTTCATTAATACAATGAAGTGTCAAGGGGTGAACGTTTTTCCTAATGTTAACCTGAATTTTCCTGAGATTAAATCATATTCTGCAATTTCATCCTTTATTTCCTCCCTTCTCCACGGGGACATGGAAACCAGATTGCTGCTTTCCCCTTCGCAGCAGGTTTTCACCTATTGCAAACCCGTTTTGACACCCGGACGCCAATGCAGATTTGTTCTCTCTGCTGCTGCGGGACACGGTTCCTGCACCCCTGCTCTTCCTGTGGGTCCCTCTCCTGCACCCTCACCAGTCAGCTGCATCCTCCCCGAGCTGGGTGCTCGGCTGAGTGTGGAGGAAGGGTGACACCACGCGCGCCGAACTCCTGCTTGCCCATTACAGTGTCCTCTTGGCCCTTCATAATGCCTTTTCTGAAGTGTGCCCATCTCGTGATGCACACTCAGCCCAAGAGGCTTCCCTGGAGCACGATGCTCTGCTCCATCCTTTGCTCCCAGGGCAGGTGATGGGTCCTGCCTGTGTGCAGCACCGTGCACACCTCTCCTGTCTGCTCGGACCGAAAACCAGCAACATCACTGTGCTTTTAGACCTTGTTATAGATATTACAGAATCCTAGAATGGTTTGGGTTGGAAGGGACCTTAAAGGTCACCTAGTTCCAAACCCCCTGCCATGGCCAGGGACACCTTCCACTAGATCAGGTTGCTCAAACCTCATCCAACCTGGCCTTGAACACTTCCAGGGATGGGGAAGCCACAACTTCTCTGGGCAACCTGTTCCAGGGCCTCACCACCCTCAATGTAAAAAATTTCATCCTTAGATCTCATCTAAATCTCCCCTCTTTCAGTTTTTAGCTTCCTGTTTAATACAGAATCATAGAATCATAGAATTGTTTGGGTTGGAAGGGATCCCAAAGATCATCTAGTTCCAACCCCCCTGCCATGGGCAGCGACATCCTCCACTACACCAGGTTGCCCAAAGCCTCATCCAACCTGGCCTTGAACACTTCCAGGGGCAGCCACAACTCCTCTGGGCAAGCTGTTCCAGTCCCTCACCGCCCTCATCGTCCTCTGTTGTGCTCACATCTTGGTGGCATCTGCAAACATGACGAGCAGCAGCTCTTCTTAAAAACGTGCGTGTGCATCAAGTTGGCTCAGACCTTGGTTTAAATTGCATCAACGGAGGTAGGTGATCCGGAGTGTCCGACCTCAACAACGTGCACCTGAACATCAGCTCCTGACTCACAGACATGTTATTTTCGTTGAGACCACCCCAGCCCACTCTGCCCACGGGTGACCAGGTTGCCAGCTGGGCGATGGAGCAAAGAGGGGCCTGAAACAAAAAAACCTGAGGAACAACTGAAAGGGGTCGCACGGGTTTCTGCACGGTGCTGCCGCTTCGGGGGAGTTTTCCCCCTCCTGCAGACGGGAAGAAGGAACGTGGACATGTTTCTGGATGGGTTATGTCCCTGCCAGAACTAAATGAAGGGCTTTGATTCAGAGCTACAGCACCCTCGGGATGTTGAGACGCACAAAACAAAGAGGGGATTTAGGCAACAAGTGAAAAGGCATATTATATTTAGATAATAAAATTAACCTCACGATGATTGTTTCCTGGAAAATAATGCCACGTTACATTACATATAATTATGGTGCTACTGGCATGGTAATTAAGAGGCTGCCAACTAATAAATTGCAATTCAGAGGTGGAGCAGCGCCGCGGCTCCTCCCATTCCTGTGCCAGGGCCGTGCCGGCGGCACCCCG